ATATATATAATTATTTTTTTCGTTGTAAAATTCGACGAAAACATTCAAATAGTTTTAAAAATATTGTTAACGGTTTTGTTCTACTTAAATGTAGTTTACAATCAATTCAAGCATAAATAAATTAAAATATTCAGTAAATTATATTTAAGTTCATTTCCAGACTAATCTAAAGTTTTTCATTTTGATGGATGAACCATTGAATTATAATTATTACGAATGAAAACATACACAAAACACATTTTATTCGCATTTCATTTATTTGTTATTCCATCCGGGACGTACCAAACGAAAATGGCACCTAGGGCATAAATAGAACTACCTAGTACAACTAAATAAAACAGTCAAAATCTTACTAAATATTTGTATTTTCTGTATTAGAACGAAAATTAGTCCGTAAAAATGCATTTCTTGCCTTCTCGCTCTTTTGCGAAAGCTCACCACTCTCGGATATTGCGGGATTATTTGAATATGAATTATATTTTTGATTTATTTTGATTTTTAAGTTTAATAATTTGCGAATTTTGCTCCACCCCCTTAAAATGGTGCCCGGGGCATATGCCCTACTTGCCCCACCCTAGGTACGCTACTGGATTCCATAAATTGCTTACCTGGTTTAGAAAAATAGAAATGCTAAAACACGGTAATTTAATTTCGAACAAACTACAAACTCAATTGGAGCAAAATCCAATGACGTATTCAAATTTGAGATAAAAAAAATCATTACCTAATTTTTGTCAAATTTGACAGCGAAAAAATAATAAGTAGGCTTTGGTAACCGATAATAAACTCAAACAAAATGTGACTTAATAAAGTTTTTTTAGTTGTATCAAAAAGAAATGCGAATTAAATCAGTAAATCTGCTTTTTACGAATGTTTCCATCTGAACTGGCCCACAGTGTATGTATCCTGTCAGCTTTTATTTTTGTTAATTAACGTCCACCGGTTCAGTTTTTGTCCGGTCAATAACTTATAGAATTCATTGACCAAAGAACACCTACATATTCGCTCCATGGATTTTTGTGTATACTTCATATATGATTCACTCAACAAGTTGCTACTAGTGCTACTGTATTTGAACTTGATAAATTTATTGCCTTTCTACTTTTTCATGGTATGTTATCTTTGTTGCAGAGGGTTGCGTGGAAGTTTCCCGAGAAAATAAGTTCCTAAGCACACTTACCCCAGGAAAGGTTTTGGGAGAATTGGCTATTTTATATAACTGTCAGAGGACCGCTACTATAAAAGCTGCTACAGACTGTAAATTATGGGCGATAGAACGGCAATGCTTCCAGACTATTATGATGAGAACTGGCCTCATCAGGCAGGCAGAGTACACGGACTTCTTGAAAAGGTAAGAGTCAATATTATTTTATTATTAACGGTAGAATGAATTTGTTGTGCAGGGTGATACAGGAAAATGTTACCTGTATTATTTTCAGAGATGCTGATTTCTCACAAACATTAAATTAAATTTTGATTTCAGAGAGCGCACATAACGAGTATATTTAACAAGTTCATCCTGTTTTCATTAACATCACTTCAAGGCATTTTTTCTCTCTTATCGCCTATACTTTAGTTTTTTAAATGTGAATCAATAGATGATAAAGAAAAGTTCATTAAAGTTCCGCTAATATAAAATCCAATTTAAAACTTCTGAAACTGTTGTTACTTAGTACTTACTTCGTCGTTATGAAAGTAATTTAGATTGAAATTTTTCCATGAACCACCTGATATATATTTTTCGTAGTTTCTTCCCATGTCAGCAGCGGCTAGTAAAAATTGAAGTTGTCATATTTTTATAAAGAAACATGAAACTATACCGTGTTTTAGGTAGGTAATCATTTCGAGCCCACTAAAAAAAATTTCTTGAAAAAATTTTGAGTGAAATTTGAAAATAATTAAAAATAGGAGAATCCTCCTTGGAATCTTCAAAAGGCTTGCACATATATGTGCAAAATATTTTTTATATTGTTTTTTTTTTCAACAAAATTAAATTTTCTTAGTAATATTTAATTTTTAATTTAATAGTAACATACTATTTATTCAAATTTTGAAAATATTAAAAAAAATATATTTTCATATACTATCAGTTAATTACGAAATAAAGTATTTTGTAAAAATATATGTATCTGTTTTTGAGATCCAAAGAAGGGTCCCTCAATTTTTCATTTCTCATTTCACAAATGACCACCACTTTTTGACCAGCCACTGTTAAAGTTCTCTTGGATGGTGTATAAGATAAGTACAAAATTGCTTGGTTTGCTTTATTAAAATGAAGTAAACAGTTTATACATACATACAGGGCTGGAAAATGCACATGGTCCATCTGCCTTTACATGAGAGCGACAAAGTAAAGTAAAGAAATCCATGCGATAGACAAGGATGGCTATAGTGAAGACGTTTCATAATCTAATTTCCCCGTTTCGGGTTAGAAGTGGGAGTGACAATTCAGATTATAAAACGTCTTCAATGTAACCATCCTTATCTATCGCACGGATTTCTATGACTTACTTTATCGCTCTCACGTAACGGCCGATGTACCATGGAGACTTTCCGAACCTGTATATTCATAAAAACAATGATGTAGCAAATCACTTTTTATTAGAAGATATGACAAAGTGTTCTTAGGAAAAGTTATTTAAACTTAGTTTATGGCCATATAAGTATCAATTTTGTAACAGGTTGGACAAAATAAATAATTTTCATTTTTTTTATTAAAAATATTTTTAATTTTGTTACTATTATGCGTCTTTTCGTATAGAGCCTTCATAAATGATTACAGTAATTTCGTTTTTTTTGTTTTGTTTAATAAAAGCAAAATACAATAACTCAAGGGTAGACCCAAGGGTTTGTCATTGTTCATTATAAACGAATCATTAACATTGATGACGCTATTGTAGGGGTTTTTAGTTAACAATACCAATCGTACAATGTTAGTTGCCTAACCTCAGAAGTTATAAGACTTCTAATTATTTATAAAGGCTCTATGTAAAGTGATTACATTGTTTTTTATGGGGATATTACAGTACTAAAATATCTTGAGCAATGTCCATGTTAAGCTGTCGTTATTATTGATACGGATGTCTCGTAAAAAAAGTGTTAGTGGCTCCAAAAATTCTACAAACTGACATATAAAACTGGCGAATACGATATCATCAACTTGTATAAGTTTCTAAAATCTGATACTGGATGATACCTGCTTCATATAAATATATACTTTAATACTAAATTCCAGCACTTATTTTAGTAATGATTCCAATTGTAACTTGTAAAAGAAACTAAAATTCAGAACTAAATTTCAATACTTGATATGTAATTTAGAAGTAAATTTCTATACCTACTGGTTTGAGTTCATATTTTTTTTCAAGCTGTGTCAAATTTAATTTTTACCATAGAGTAGCTGTTTTCCGCAATATCAGCAGTTAGCAATTCTTGTCTGTGGGGTTAGATATTTTTTGTATACCTAGATTTTTGCTATCAAAGAACATTGTTTGACTTCACTTGATGGGATTTTTTTAGTAACAAATTTTTCAAATAAATACTTTTATAACAGTAAAAATGCGAGAGATAATAATAAATTAATGATTTCTAAAAGTATATATGAGGACTTATTCAAAACATATTAAATATGTTTTATATGCCAGTAATAGGCATTTATGTTTTATTTTCCAAGCATTTTAACATTTTTCTTAAATGTTTTATTCATTAACAACAGTTGTCTCCTATATTATTCCCAGAAATAATCATAAAAATACTTACCATTCCTACTTTATAGTTTCAGTAATTCGATGCATTTTCAAAAATATGTATTTGTATTTTCTCATTTTCAGTGTCCCAATATTCAAAAATCTTCCCGAAGATACTCTCATCAAAATTTCCGATGTTTTGGAAGAAACATATTATGCTCACGGAGACTATATTATCAGGCAAGGCGCTCGAGGTGATACCTTCTTCATTATAAGCAAGGGTAGAGTGAAGGTCACCATGAAAATGCCAAATTCAAATGAAGAAAAATATATTAGAACCTTAACCAAAGGAGACTTCTTTGGAGAAAAAGCTCTACAAGGGTATGTAAAAATTATATATTCTAAGAATTTTAGCCATCTTTTGAAATTCAACATATTTTATAATAGAAACTAAGACATTATTGTCTGTTTACAAAATAAAATCATTTTTTTTTTCTTTTTTTAGTGATGATCTAAGAACTGCCAACATTATTGTAGATGATCCTGAAGGAGTTTCAACTTTAGTGATAGATAGAGAGACGTTCAATCAACTTATTTCTAATTTAGATGAAATTAGAACTAAGTACAAGGATGAACAGACTGATAGAAGAAGGTATGCTTTATTTTTACATTTACAGTTTTTTCTACAGAAAAATCTCACCTCAGCTCTTATAACCTCTTTTTCATTATATTATTATTTTAAAAAATGTAAATATATATCATTGAAATATTTAGATAAATGAAGAATGTTTTATATGTGAAAAACAATTGGATATAGTTATAGAATGGGAACCGTTGAAAATACGGTGTAGCTACTTACGTGGCATGAGCAAAAAAATATTAGTTCTGACAAAAAAGTTAGGCGCAAATAGGCACAAATTTTGAAAAAAAAAGCTGCTATCACTAATTAACCAGGTAACATAGACTAACAAATTTTTACTTATAAATATTTTCTGTGGTTTTGCGTTTGGTTCTATGTTCTATAACATCGACCAATTGATGAGAGTCGGTGAACTTTTGAATGCCAATTTAATAGTATATTTTCCGTGATATATATTAAGTACATTATATACAATTTAATTTAGAATTATTCTTATTCTGGCATGCTTGGATTATTGAGTAAGTAAATTGTTATAAAATTATTTGTATTTTAGAAATTACATTAAAATTAGGTTTTTATTCTTCTTTTTAAATAAAGATTTGTAAACCTTAAAATTTCTTAATTTCATTGCAATTTGTTTTCAGTGTTTTTTATAATTACTTATTTTTGTCATTTACGTTGAAAAGTTGAGTCTTTTAAATAAATCTCTTTTTACAACCAGATATATCAAAAATTTGTTCCGAAATATTACATATTCTTGTTATATTAATTATAGTAACTACAAAAAAAAAATAAAAAAAATTGGTAAAAAATTACTTTCTTATTAGCTTTTCATTATATTATAATAAATATATATTTTTTTTATAATTGTGTAGGTTGAACGAAGAATTCGAGCATGTAAAACTTTCTGATCTCAAACTGCTGACTACCCTTGGTGTTGGAGGTTTCGGTCGAGTTGAACTTGTACAGATACACGGAAGACCCTCCAAGTCTTTTGCTCTTAAACAGATGAAGAAAGCTCAAATAGTGGAGACTAGGCAGCAACAACACATCATGTCCGAAAAGGAAATAATGGGTGAAGCAAACTGTGATTTTATTGTAAAACTATATAAAACGTTTAAGGATGCTAAATACTTGTATATGTTGATGGAAAGTTGTCTAGGAGGTGAACTGTGGACTGTTCTGAGGGACAAAGGCCACTTCGATGATGGTAAGTGAATTTGGATACTTATATAAGAATAAAACAAAAAGATACTTATGTCAGATACCCTTCGCAAACGAAGGTGCAAATGGTACAAAGGTGGTACAAATACCACCTACAAATGTCACTACATTTTCCTGTACAGCAAGCACTGTACACATATAATCTGATTATATTGCAATATCCTTGAAGACTAAAACTTAGAATTTTTGCAGTTTCATCTCAGTTTGAATAAATGCATATGTACCTAGTTAGTTGCACGCGCTAATGCGCTAATGCGCCGTTTCATTACCTCCACAAATATCGCATGAGTAGTGCATATGAGAAGTGACTTCAGAGGCATATCATTGAGAATTAAGATAAAAAAATAGAATTCATTAGCTGATGTATTGCCACATATCTTTTTCTGTGTTCATTCTAAGCTGCAAAATTTGTATTTGAAAGGATACAATTTTGTTAACAGTTGTAGTTGTAGTTGTTGCCTGTAGTCAGTAGTTGTACTCTTTTAAAGTCATTGGCATATATTCAAAAGGGGAATAAATTCTTATTTCTACAGAAATTATTTTTTTGGAAATTGCTACAGCTAACTCACAGGTTCATCAGTTATTTCCATAGTTTAGCACCCATGTCCATGTCCTGTATAGATTTTAGTATAATTATATATTTGCAGTTATATACTTACATACAATACATACAGGCACATTGTTCACAAAAAGAAAACAGTTAAAAGTAAGAGTTCAGAAAAATTGTTTAAACATTTGTTCACTAATAATTTTGCACAATAAAAAACAGACGTTTCCATAATAAAAACTAAAGTAGGCTGATGAGTGAACTAGCACTTTTTCTGTTTACTACAACAAAAACAAGATAAAAAAGCATAAGACACGCCAATTTACAGCCACAGCTATTCATTTATTTTTATGTAGTATGTAATTCGTGAACGATTCCAGACGTTCTCGATAAGTTTTAACAGTTTTGATTATTAATTTTAAGCGCCGTTTTGCAGTTTTAATGCTTTTAATTACTGAAAATGCTTATTAACGCATTGTGCCTACCATTAAATACTACTAACTTAGGATTAAAAAGATCTAATGTAACATTCAAATATTAACAAGCCTAGACAGTCTACTTAAGTTGCCAATTCAAATTATGTGCACAAAAACACTGCTGTTTGTGTGGTATCGAGTTGCATTTTGAAATCATTACATCATTTATATTATTATTAGTTGTTGATGTTTTGATATTGTTACATAAGTAACTTATTATAAGTTTTACCCTGTAAACGAATTCATGTTAGGCAATAAAGATATTATTATTATTGTTGTAACCTTGCAGATTTTTTTCTATGGTATTCTTTTTACAGGTACTACAAGATTCTATACCGCATGTGTTGTTGAGGCCTTTGACTATCTTCACTCGAGAAACATAATATACAGAGACTTGAAACCTGAAAACCTTCTTCTAGATAATCAAGGCTATGTTAAACTTGTTGATTTTGGCTTTGCAAAAAAATTACAATCTGGGCGTAAAACTTGGACGTTTTGTGGTACACCTGAATATGTAGCTCCAGAAGTTATTTTAAATAAGGGTCATGATATTAGTGCCGACTATTGGTCTCTTGGAGTTCTGATGTTTGAATTGTTGACAGGGACTCCACCATTCACAGGTAAGAACTGAGTTAAAATGTAACATTCCTATGGTATCTAAATTTACAAATCTTTTTATTGAACTTTTTTAACGTTTGAGTTTCTACTTTGTTTTTCTGTTATAGGTTCAGACCCAATGAAGACTTATAATATTATTTTGAAAGGTATTGATGCTATTGACTTCCCAAGGACAATAACAAGAAATGCAACTGCCTTAATTAAAAAATTATGCAGAGACAATCCAGCAGAAAGATTGGGATACCAAAAAGGAGGTATTAGCGAAATCCAAAAGCATAAGTAAGTACTAACTGTAATAGCCACCTTTTATTTTATTCACCTTCAATGAGTGACATATACAATAATTGGGTTTTAGATTGTCTCGACATTTTTCAAATATAAAGAATTTTGAAAGTGTCGTTTAATTACGATTATTTCTTTGATATCATTTTTTATTTTTGTTTATTTTTTCTTTAGTTTTTTTTTTGTTGTATGAAGAATACGTATTTACAGGGTACAGAGTATTTATTTAAGAAAAGGGTTATGGAAGGTTCTTAAGCAGGTCAAATTGTAAATATTACTGTCTTCAATTTACTGTAAGATGCATAGTAAAAAAAAATATTGAACTTTATCAAGTTCAAAATTTCATAGAAATGTGTTTTTTAGAGAATTTCAAAAATGGTAATCATTTTGTATTGATTTTGTACTGAGTAAATATGATCTAAACTTTCTTTCCATCACACATATCTGTTTCTATTTTGGAATAAAATTAATGAAAACTTAAATTGACTTGAAAGCAAAATACTCAACATACTAAAGATTGACACATAAATAAAAATTATTTCCAAGTTTTTGAAATCACAAATATTTGTAAATTGTAAATATTCCCCAAAGAAATTTCTTGCAATAACTTTAGCACGTGGCATTTGGTAAGAGAATTTCATACCAAAACTACAAATAAAATAAAAAAAATCAAGCCTATAACATTTGAAGTCAATTCATTGGAATTAAAATTGTAAAAAAAACATACCACTCATGATTTGGTCACAACCTCATGGTTTGTCGTATACATGCTTTTATTAAAAAATTATAAAAAAAAAGTTAAATTGATGGGTTATGTTGCAAAAGTCATTCCATAAGCTGTCCCTAGCTTACACATAAGAAATGCGTGCTACGAGTGGTATATCATAAGAAATATAAACGATGTAATAAGTAATGTTGGCTACAAAATTGAAGTGTGTAGTTTTCCTTTTTATTGAAGTTAAACTAACTAAATGTTTGTAATTTCTTTTGATCTATTTCATTCAATTTTGTCTCCTAATATTTAATTATAAACATTATATTCTAACATCAAGACATGTACCGGGTGTCCCCTTTTTAAAAATACACGTGAATATCTCTTAAGGGCTTAATGAAAAAAATTTTCAAATAAAAGTTGTAGGGTTTTGAGGGGGACATCTAATGGTGACCTTGACCTTGACCTTCAAGGTCATTTCAAGGTCAAGTAGATTTTTTCAAATGGAAACATATTTTTAACACCAGAAATGAAAAGAGCAGAAAATTTTACATCCGACGATGACCTTCAAGGTCATTTTAGTTTCTGTTGCAAAATTCTACTTTTGAGACTAGAAATGAGAAGAGCGGGCCATTTCACGTTTATCTATAACATTGACCTTGACCGTCACGGTCATTTCAAAGTCAAGTTAATTTTTCAAATAGAAACCGGTATCTTTCAGACCAAAATAGAAATTGCGGAGAATTTTGCTTCCGGATATAACCTTGATCATGACCTTAAGTTTCAAGTCATTAGAAGGTCATTCTAGTATTTTGCAGGCAAAACTTTAATCTTGTTCATATTTTTCTTTTTGATATGTGGGGCTCGCCATAATTTTCCAGAATACCCATTAACCCTTTGCGACATGCATTTTTTTATTCAAATGTTTTTCAAATCCGATACGGCGGATCCAATATGTCGAATGCTCGGCTCGACCTTGAGTTTTAACGGAGGTTGAAGCATTTTTAAAGTGTTAATCCATATGAATATTAAAAATGTTTACCCAAAAATTGGTCGGTCATATTGGATTTGAATATTTTCAAATTCCGACTTCATATTCGCGATCAGCGTCCTCGAAAACCGCCGAGTACACTATTCGGCATGACGGAAATGAATTTTGCAACAAAAAACTAAAATGACCTTCAAATGCCCTTGAAGGTCATGGTCAAGGTCATAGTCGGATGTAATTCTGCTCTTTTCATTTCTGGTGTAAAAAATGTTTCCATTTGAAAAAATCTACTTGACCTTGAGGGTCATTCATGGTCAAGGTCACCATTAGATGTCCCCCTCAAAACCCTACAACTTTTATTTGAAAAATTATTTCGTTAAGCCCTTAACTTCAGAGATATTCACGTGTATTTTTTAAAATGGGACACCCGGTATAGTCTTTCCAGTCAGTTGAACATGTACAAAAACGCCTAGCAATAAAATTTAATTATGTAGTTTCATAGGCATCCCTAAAAAAATTTTCTGCTAAAGGTAAAAAATATAATAATTTGTATATAATGTGTAGAAAATTTCTATTACATGTTCATTTGACCAACAACATATTTCAATTATTTATGTCCTCAAACAATTTTATTATATTAATGGCAAATTTCGTTTTGTTCCGTTTCAAAAGGTCTCCAAAATGACATGTAATAATATTAACGAACAAAATATCCGTATTATTTCTCCCTTTCACAATTGTAATATGAATGATTAATGAATGATGAATAATAATAATAATAAATTAAAATTATCATTTAAGATGAGAGATCAAGACTAACTATTGAGTAACGATTATACATAGGCGGGATTTCGCCCAAATCATTGAGGGGGGCAAACATTTCACGAAAAATTTGACCCCAATAAATTTTATCCGGTTTTAGTTTTTTGTTAAAAAAATTCAGTTATGTTTTAAATTGTTTAAATACACACCAAAACAATATGCTTACGCATGGTGGCTTAAACACATAAACATCATTCTTTTGAACGATAAACTTTTAAAGGCTTGTCCATACAAAGCAGCGTCTATGCAAAATAAGTAAAGTGCTTGTTTTCTGGTACACTTACAACTTTCTAAGTACATACAGGCTCTGAAAATTTATTGTCCCAAAGAACGATGTTTACGATCATGGACTCAGATTGAGGGACCCCGAAAACATGTAGTAGACATAGTCGAACCTCCAGACCCGAAAAACATTTTTTTTTTGTGTGGCTGTGTACTGAAATAACTTACAAATTATTTTCTTTTCATTTGAAAATTGAAATTCCTTTATTTCTAAATAAATTTGCACTTCATGTGTTTGACTTCTAACTTTTTCCAACTGAAAATGAAGAGGATTAATTATTTTTCAAATTGTCAATGCTAGAAAAAGTTTAGGTTACTAACATGCTCTGTTGAAACTCAAAATTAGTATATATTTTTTTTAATTCTCTTACTAAATATCTTACCTTATCCAATCTCCCATTAAGCTATGTTTATTCTTAATTAAGTATACCTGCATTATATGTCACTAATCTTATATCTGTTATCTACAAATAATAAATATTTCAGATGGTTTGATGGTTTCAACTGGGAAGGCCTTGTAAATAGAACTCTAACCCCACCAATCCTGCCCAAAGTGCAGCACGTCACGGACACATCAAACTTTGATGATTATCCGCCCGATACAGACGGATTACCGCCCGATGACCTAACAGGGTGGGATTCTCACTTTTAGGAATATATTTTCAATTTAGGATATTTAATTTTTAAAGTGAACCTTTTTTTTAAATGAATCATGAATTTGTAGGATCTTGCTGACCACAAAAGTGCCTTATTTGTATAGTGTTGTTAACAAATATGTTATAGATCTATTTATATAAATAATTTTATAACTAAGCATTATTTAAAAAATATATTTATCTAATAATTTTTATATAATGCAGTTTTGGATAATTCTATTTGTGTTATATTTTTTATATGAAACCTTTTAGATATTTGTAAATTAAATTTTAACTGTAATAAAGTGCCAATAATTTTAATAATATTTTAGACTAAGTTCTGATGAAGTGAAATTTTAAATAGAGTTTTTCTTGCATAAAACATGACATAGTTGCAGAGACAATTTTTGGCAAGATAATCATAAAAATTCACTGTACATGTTTGTAAAGTATGTGTTTGTGCCATTTTGAATGATTTTATGGAAGTGATTTACTGTTCTGTCTTCTCTTACTTTTTAAATTTCTGATTGTAAATATCTAATAAAGTTACCCCACTGCTTCGTGTATATTCGGTAAATTAATAATAGCAATAACATTTTTTATCAAATATAAATTGTAATTGCGATATTGTAAACTAAATAAATATATTGTTATACATATTATCACCAGTATTTATTATTTCCTTGCAAGATGTTTTGACCATACAGGGCGATTCACAACTCATCCAAAAAAATTTAGGAATAGATGTGGCATGAGAAAGTATACTGTAAAAAAAATTTTTGGAAAATTCTTAGTTCCCGGGAAAAAATTATTGAAGTAGTATTTTCAACCAATACATAGCTGGGGCAACTGTAGTGTCTAGTGTCATTGGTAATACGCGTGGAGAGCCACGTGGGATCAGTGACTCCGAATACTGAAATCCAATTTTAGTCATTACCATAGTGTTTACAATAGTTTTTTTAGTAGTTAGTGTATAGCAACTCGGAGTTGATGGATATCGTTTTAGTTTATGGTGAAACAAGAAAACATTTGTATTATGGTGAAGAATTTGTGTTATGGTGAAACAAGACATTTGTGTTCGTTCATAGAAACTGAATAAGACGGACCCAAATGTGTATACACGTCCGTGGACAAAATTTTGAACAGTTGTAACGTATGTCAAATTATTTTATTATTTAAAACCACACATTTATTTTAGTAATTAATAATAAATAACAATAGCGGCAAAAGCAGTTGAATTTGTCGATATAAAATAGGTGCTATAAAATTCTATTTATTCCTTGCAATATTTTTCCAAGTTTTTGTCCATTTTTATAAGGTCGGGTTTTACTGTGGACCAGTTTCCAGTGCCGTGCAGAAGGGTATTTTTAAATCATTTTCGAACTGCCCTTTTTGATTTTTTTTTTTTTGATAAGTTCTGAATCACCCTGTATATTTCTGCTGAGAAATCTATAGAAAACACAAAAAAATAATATAAAACTTTATTGTACAAGAAAACTTATCACAATCAAATACTACAAATATAAGCTTATAATTATTACTTAAAATTTATATTACTTAACTACAAACATACTTAGACTTATTTACAACAGAAACGTGGATAAATTAATAAAAACCATTAAAGTGTATAAGCGTTTATAAAAAAAATTACTTTCAGCTCAACTTTTTTAATTTGTCATATAAATAGATAAAATATTGAAAGGTGATTGTTATAAATACAGTCTACTTGTGTCAGGTATAATTAGAAAAGAGTTAGAATTGTAAGATGTCAGTTACGATAAAAAAAAAGATATTACTTAAAAATAGCAGCTTTCTGCAAGAAATCTTGTCTCCTCATTGCTCTCTCTTCTTCCATGCGCTTACGTTCCTCTTGTTCCTGGCGAATTTCATCTTCAAATTTGCTCTTTTTAGATAATTCTACGATCTAAAAAAAATATCCTTATTCAATACTACATCAAATAGTTTACAAGAGTGAAATAGTTATTATATTAATAACTTCTGGGGTAGAAAAAATTACATTAATATACAAGGAATTTTGTGAAAAAAGTACCACAGATTCAGGGGCTGATAAAATATTACAAAATATTTTAAAATATTTGTTCCTGGGGTGGTAGAGTATCAGAGATAATTTTTTTAAATCAAATTTTGACTGTTTCTAAAACAATTTAATAATGCAAAATTGGTAAGTTTTTTGCGGTGCGGTGTTTTTATCAGTGTTATTACTTTTTAACCATCTGCTAAAAGTCACCTTTGACAGTGACGTAATTTTTTGAGGTTACGGTTTTTACAGTGTACGTCAGTCATATAGTGCGACATAAAACTTCATTTAACAAAAGGTACTGTAGTTGAAATCCCCAAAAATGCTCTGTTTTTTGAGAAAAAAGCTGATAACATCAAAGTCAACCAGCTTCTCATTATACAGAGTGATTCACAAACGGTGACCAAAAATGAAACCCTCGTATTCTTTGATGAATTTTCAGGGAGTCATACAAAGTTTTTATCTAGGACGCTTTGTTAAAAAGATACATGGTGTTAAACTTACAAAAATATTTTTAATTTTTTTAATAATTTAAAAACTAGTCAGTGAAATAATTTGAAATGGGCATATGTATTTATGTAGACATTGTCCAAAATCTGAGGCCTTGTCTTAAAATTTAAATGCTCCAGTGGTGGAGAGGTGTTTTCAGTTCGTTTTTTAAGTTTTACTCAAAAGTCAGGCTTTTTTTGAAAAACATAAGAGAATAGTAATTTGTAGAAAATTAAAAGACGAATCCGAAAATATCATGATTGTAACAGTAAATCAGTGACGTACTATTTTATTTAGAAAAATATGCCACCGATACCCTATATTTCCTCTACTGGAGCATCTAAATGTTAGAAAAAGGCCTCTGATTTTGAACAATATTTACATAAATACGTGCCGAATTTCAAATTATTAGTTTCTAAATTATTTAAAAAAATTTTTTTTAATATTTTCTAAAGTATGAAAGACTTCCCTTAAAATGCACCACGGGGTTTCATTTTTGGTACCGTTTGTGAATCACCCTGTATAACGTATCCAAAAACATACTATATTTCAATGGTAGATTCTTTGGATGAAAAAAAAAAACAATCTAGGACAACAAGTTAGTTTAGTAAAATTTTACTTCCTTAAAAAGTTGTCTGTATTAGTTATAATAAAATCAAACGATTTTTTTGGCTGATAAGTTCTTAAGAAAGCTACCGCTGTAGCATACATCTGATAAGTCACAGCTTATTCTATTCCAGAGTTCCAGACAAATTGTATATTAAAGAATAGGAGGTTAAGTTGGGGATAGTCAATTGCGTTTATCTCAAGAACATTATTATTTTCAGCGACAAGAATACTATTTTTGATGTCAAATGAAATTGTAATTATGATGGATGATGGCACATTCACATTCTGTAAAGAACCTAACCTCAAAATTGGAAGTCGCAAAATGGCTAATACTTGATTTACAAAATCATGGTTGACGCTTTATCTCAAAAACAAAAGACCAAACTCCATGGTTCAACGGAAAAAATCACCATACTTTTTGATGTCTCCTGAATTTATAGTACCTTTACCAAAAGACCCTGTGGAAACCAGTGATTAACCTACAGATATAATTAGAAATATTAGTTTTTATATTTCTCTCAAATTTAATTTTTTTACTAGTTATACCTATTTAAATTTTAATTTGATGCACTCCATTTCTCAAAATTTCCAATACTAACCTTAAGAATAAATATTTTGCGAAAAATAAAAAACGCTTAAGTGTTTTTTAGTGAATGAAACAATTTTGCAAATATAGGCGCAACCCTTTGAGGGATGGCACCCCTATTTCAATTCTTTATTTTGCAAATTTCTTTAGAGTTTTCATCACTGAAGATCTTTATGTGAGCCTACAAATCATCACCTAAGGTCCCATGTTTCAGAGGCGGATTGGCTATGCGGGAACTTGGGAGGTTTCCCGCGGTCATTTTGGGCCGGTCCGCGCTGTGGACGGATGAAATTGAAATGAAAAAAAATTGAAAAAAATATGAAAAAAAAATTGAAAAACAAAAATTGGAAAAAATTTTGAGCAAAACATTTGGAAAGAAATGAAAAAAAAGTATATATTACACGCCTAGGGCAGTACAATAAGAAATGTCGACTTCACCTTGGCCGACAATTACATGTGATCTGAGGCTTAAAAGCTCCAGGTTTTAACAAACTGTGTGGGAAATGGGTCATACATGAACCAGAAATAAGTCCTCAAAAACTAAGAGATGAATTAACAAGTTTAGCACACCAGTGGAAAAAACTTGTACAAACTCCATTGGACGAGTATGAAACACGTCAATGTGATGAAAGTGAATGTGAAGAAATAGACTAGGCGGTATCTGTTTTGGTTTGGGTGAATCGTATATCCACAGAGATTTTTGGCTGTTTGGCTTTCAAATATCACTAGAAATGAAATTTTTTCTATGCGCATAAAAAAAAACGTTGGCTTAACTTTTGGCGGCACAATATGTTAAAAAAATTCGAAAAATGTCATATTTTTCTTCCTATTTAATTATGTATCTTTTCAAGAGTTGATTTTAGGCGAAAATGGAAGAGGAAAGAAATGTTTGTAATTAATTTTTTTTACAAAACAGAACTAGTTACAAATCGAATGAATCATGATTATGGTAAAAATCGAAAAAATCGCAAAAATGGGGTTAAAAAACAATGCTTTTTTGGGAATTTTTTTGGGGTATTTAAATTGGGTCAAGAAAACTTCATGTTATGTAGAATTATCACACCAAATTTCATCAAAATCGGTTCGATAGATTTTGCATAATAATTTTGCAATCCAGATTTTGAAAAAAAAATTGCAAATTTTCAAAATTTTGCACAGCAAAAACTAAGGCCCTTAGATACTTGAAAATTAAATCACATATGAAGGGCTCTCCAGCTTTCAAACTTTTTTGAAAAATTCGAATCTGTCAATTAGGAGAGTTATGGCGCTTGTTTAGATATTGGTCGAATTTTTGTACTTATAAGCATTTAGAATAACTGTGAATATTCTACCAAATCAAATTTTTTAAAGCAGGTTTTAAAAGTTCTTGGAAAGACGCTTTTTTAAAAAAAAAAACAGATCGATTGGTCAATTAGTTACGTAGTTATAGCCGATCAAAGTTAACCGTCATTTACACTAAATATACTAGGATATCCGGGCTAATTTTTTAAAAAATATCTTTAGTATTCCGAGTACTTACCAGGTCTAAGATTACAATACTTTTCTTCATTGGCAACCTACTTTAAAACGTGTTTAAAGTTATTTATGCAAGCGAGAAATTCAAGAAAATTGTACGGGTGGTTTCAAATACCTACAGTCCGATAGTTATTTATCTTTAAACTTCCTTTGTCAACTTTATTTTTCTATTGCATCAAAGGTAAGTTCATAAACTTATATACGGTTTATCAAAGATCAAAAACAAATTTATTTAAATATTCTGAAATTGTTTAAACAATTATTTTCAAAATATGACGAAAATTAGTAATATAATGAGTTAATTTCTCATTTGCTTATATTTTAAACAATAAATAATATTTGAATTATACTTTAATCACAAAAGAAATTATGATTAAATTAATTAATTAATTAATTAATTAATTAATTAATTAATTAATTAATTACACA